GTGGAATTCCAAAATATGCCGCCAGTACAAATGTTTTCTTTACTAGTGGGTGTTTTGTGTTTTCCTGCTTAGCGTTACACAGCTTGCATAATAGATAATTTTGCCATTCTTTTGTCTGAAGATTATTTGTTGTTAGTAGGATTTTATTATGCATTGATGCCCAGGCGAGGAATCATCATTTTGGTTCCGCTTTAGGTCGCCAGATAGGGTTCTGTTTTGAGCTGCCCAGAATTGAATGTTATAAGCAATTGTGGCTAATGTACTAGTATTCTCCAGCATTAACTTTTCCGGTTTTCCATCTGATTCGGTCTACGTTCTGCTGTACCCCTTGAATAACTTTTCATAGTTTTAAAAATTCTGTCTCTTCGGTTTAGGAGAAATTGGCATGGCATATTGGAACCAACGGTTGTTCTTGTGAGCCATTTGCACTATGATTTGTTTTTCTGATTGCCTTTCCCATATAAATTTGGGACAATACTTGGCCCTGTCATTTAACCATGCCGATAGCCAAAAACTTGGCCCAATCACCCTGTAGAGCTTGCAATTGGATACCCATAAATAATTACAATTGTGTACCGCTTACACACATGGGCCGAGAGAGAGTACATAAATCACTCTCCGTAACCCATTTCCTCATTTCTTCCTTGGCGATTGAGAATCTGAGATAGTACTGCACCCACTCAAACGCTCAAAAATGTCCGCCGTCAGATAAAATACCTTCTGAATTCCGCTCACAAGAGATGAGCGAAGGAGATTAGACCACGGAGGTGGCGATGAATCTTACTTTCCATTTCTTACGATCTCTCATTCTCTACTTCTTATCCTCTGAATTTGACACGGCTCCGTAGTTCAGATTTAGAAAGTAGTGGAATATTATATTCTAAACCAAATAGCCTAGTTCATAAAGTAGATTCTAATTTAGCTCAAATGGAAAGATCCAAACGTACCATCAACTCACATCGAGGGGAGCCGCGAACCAACACTAATCCGATGCGCACGGGAGTGAATTTGGCAGAAATTCTCCGACGGATTCGAAGCTGCTGGAGTAGTGCACAGCCTAGTCCATGCATAGCCGGTGACGTACTGTGGGGTATGAGCCTCCGGTATCCACAGGATAAGATATGGACCGCATCATCAGAGGTGGTCCAGCCTATAAGATTAAGGCGTGCGGCGCACGGCACTGGTCGGCGTGCACCGTAAGGCTACAAGAAGATATTATGGTCCCGTTCAGCTTGCTAAATCTTGATTGAAACTGGCTGAAAACACTGTTCTGGCTAAATTATTGTGAGAGAAAAACACTGTTCCGGCTAAAAAAAATAAGCTGAACAAGCTAAATATGGGGTAAACCGAACAAACAAAATAGGATATTTTTCTTTTAACCCTACCCCTCTAGAGTATATAAGGAGGAGCAGGGGCCCCTTAGACGATATATCAAATCGGATCATACGCAATACAATCCACAAAGACACAGGACGTAGGGTATTACGTCAAGTCGACGGCCCAAACCTGTCTAATCGCTGTCTTTTGTGTTCTATGTCACCATTCGATTTCCTTACGCTTACCTCCACCGATTCATCTACTACCGTGGGCATACCCCTCGGTAGACTGCCGGCCGTATTTCATCGATAGTGGCGCGCCAGGTAGGGGGTGTGCGTGCTGATTTTATGATGGACCAGCTGAGAATCTTTTCTTCAACCAACGTCGCCGACAACTCGGCATTCGGCGGCGACTCGACGCTGGCACGCAGCGGATTGATTTCCTCGACGAATGGCCGCACGTGGTGGAGTCTGATGCCTTGCCATACGTCTCCAATAGACGCAACACGCGACAACAAGATCAGAGTCAAGCAATCTAAGAAAGCTAAGTCAAGTCGCTTCCTAATTAAATATTATTATTATACTTCCAAATATATCCGTATGTCTGTATGATTTCGGTTGGGAGACACCTAATCGCATCTTGTTGTTGCTCGTGATTTCTGATCGGATACGCAGGATCGTTTCCGCGGATCACGACAACCAGCAATCAGGAAAGGCGACCGGCGATAACGCAATGTGGAGCAGTGTTTCCACCAAAGATGCTGGTTGGCCGTACAAACTAATTGGAGTAGTTGAAGAGATATACAAGCATATATGCATCTGGATCTACACCACCATGCAAGCACCCTCACGTATCTCAGACATACAAGGAAGATCTCGGACTGCGCCCTCGCCTCGGTCTGACACGCCAAAGGGCTTCGCCTCCCCACGCGGATTGACTCCGTCAGGCTCCGATTACGTCCATTCGCCTACGACTTCGCATACTCGTCCGAGCTGTTAAGCGAGTCGTCTGAGCTGTCAAGCGAGCCGTCCGAGCTATCAAGCGTGCTATCCGAGCTATCAAGCGAACCGTCGAGCTGTCAAGCGAGCCACTCAAATCACACCCATCTACTTGGACATCATGACTCGCCGACTCCTCTACTCCACTCGGCGTCAATCAAGCTAAGTCACGCTTTAATATTCTTCTAAATATTCTCTAATCTTCATGTGTCTCCGATATCGCTTCATGTTGTTTTCTCCATAATTATTCTCCAAAAGACCTTTTCTCCTCGTATACCATCTTAAAAATGACACATGCTTTCGACTCAATAAAATTCTCGAACAGTTATGTTGACGCTTGGATGTCCCCAGAGACGGTCCTGTCTCCGGCTTCTCCCTTCACGTGCACGAGCGTCTACCCTCTGCTTTACGGATGGTTGGCAGCGGCTCCTTAGCGACGCTTTGTTCTTCCTACACACACGGGCTCCGGGCTCCGCGCTCTACGTTATGGTTAACGTGCTAGCCAGAATTGAAGACTCAGCTACAAACTAAGTGTTCGGACGGTTTATATTAAATATAAACACTTTCAGCCTGTTCGCTGGTTGGTTTCTGGGTTGATAAGCTCGGCTGATGCTGGTTTGTTGTGAGAGGAAAAAACACTGTTGGCTGGCTGATAAGCCCTGGCTGAAACCAACAAGTGAAAAGGCTGTTCATCCAAAAACAAACATAATGTTCATCTACAACTAATTGCCGAGTTGCATACGCTATTTCATCACTGCGGATTTTCCTTTGGGTTTCATATATTTTATTTTTACATCATGAACTAACTATTTTACATATTTTTATTTCAGGGGCCTGATTCAGTCAACGAGCTTACGCTCGGGGACTGAATCCGCCAAGAAGGACAAGAGGGTCATCGTCTGGGTGGTCGCGCCACCTAGCACTCGGACTTCACCGCCGACCAACTGATCGGACCGTTCGGTTCATGGACTTCATCGTAGACCAGTTGGTCGGACTGTTCGATGATCACTTTCGCTCAGGCATTCACTTCACCGCCAATTAGATTGCTTGTCGCTTCGGCTTCATCGACAACTACGCTGGAGACTTGCCAGCTATGTTGGCGACTTGTCGGCGCTTGGATTCTTTGTGCAAGAGTTGCCAGCTAAGGTTGGGACCCCTTAGCGTTTGGATTTTGCTACGTCTCATCGCTGTGCTTTCAAGTTGCTCCATGCTGTTCGGATCAGGGTGCTGATCTTGGACAACACGTCTAGGATCTTGATAAGTACATGACAGATGGCGTTGGTAAGCTTTCAGATTTATTTTCTTTGATCCTGCTACAAAATTTATTTCTTCATCTTTCAGTAGGCTCGGAGACTAAGTGGCTACACTTCACCTGACGATGAATGTAATGATTTTTTCTGATTTACCCTCCTTATTCAATAAGGAGTTTAAGTTGCTACACTTCACCTAAGGTGAAGAATTTTCAAATTTTATCTTGAGCCCCTTACATCCTTCTGGCAAGCCTTACTCGCGGAAGTCCGAGGTCCGCCGACCAGTTTGCTTCAATCTTCATTGTTCAGTTTACCAATCAAACTGGTTGGTTTCAATCTTCACCGCTCGGCTTCATGATAAACTGCTCAGACTTGATCACGACGACGTCGCCAAGCGGATACAAGGTGCTCGGGGACTAGCTGTGGGGGTATGACCCCGGTATGCACAGGACGAGACATGGGACACACCATCAGAATTGGTCCAGCCCACAAGATTAAGGCATGTGGCGCACGTCACTGGTCGACGTGCACCGCAAGACTATAAGAAGATATTGTAATACGAAATAGGATATTTTTCTCACAACCCTACCCCTCCAGAGTATATAAGAAAGGTCAAGGTTCTCTCGACGATATATCAAATCGGATCATACACAATATAATCTATAAAGACACAGAACATAGGATATTACGTTAATCAACGGTTCGAACCTATCTCATCGCTGTCTTTTACATTCTGTCTCACCGTTCGATTTCATCACACGCGTCTCTATCGATTCATTACTATCGTGACCATACCTCGGTAGACTGCCCCGTATTTGGTCGATAGGGACCAACCAAACTGTACGGCAGTTACTGGACTCGTCGTCGGAGAAACGAAACGAAGAAACTGTGAAGGCGTTACTGAGACGGGCCCGTCTTTAATAAATTCTGTCACCGGTGTGGAGTGGAGTGGCTGCCATCGAGCTGTAACTGTCATCACTCATGAAAGCGAGCTGAGCTCACTCTCACTCTGCGTTGTCTTCTTGGTTCATGGTCATGGTGGAGATGGAGACTGGACACTGGAGCCGTAGCTTTCGTGAAAGCGATTGAACAATCTCCTGTCCAGTCCTGCATATTCCCCCCAATTTCTTCATCTCACTAAATGCAGCATTTTCTACCTTGGTCAGCTCACTAGATGACTAGAATCCTCTTTGAAATAACACATCATTACTACTACTAATGACCTGCTAATAAATATATAGGAGTACTCAAAATAGACAAGGGTGAAGAAATTCCAAGTGAATGCACATTTATATTTACACAGGAACATGCATCTTTGCTTGGATGGAATTTACACAAGTAATAATCTTCGGAATGCCGATTTAACAGCAGAAGGAAACAAAGGGGAAAACATATACTGACGGGACGGTGCCACCACCAGTCCCCCATCTCCATCTCAGTGACCGGTCAATGCCACCGCCGGCGCCGCGTGCCTCCTCCGGCCGCTGCTCCCGCCGTGGGCCCAGAAGCACCCGGCGGCCGTCGCATCGGCCGCGGGCCCCGCCGCCATCTTCGCGGCCGCGGTCGTCGCCGGCTCCGACTTGCACCGCTGCAGCACCAGCGGCCGCGCCGACGAGCACCGCATCGTCTCGTCCTCCTCGTCGTACGCATCGAACTCGTCGTCGTCTTCTACTTCATCTTCTTTTTCTTCTCCGCCCAGGATCAGCTCCTGCGTCTCCTGTTGCTGCTCACGCGCCGCCGCAGCTCCTCCTTGTTGCGTCGTCACGCCGCCCTCGTCCACCGCCGCCGGCTTCCGCGGGGAAGGCGAAGGCGAAGGGGACGGTGACGGCGACAGCTTCTCCGGCTTGCCGGCGGACGGGGACGCCGTGGCGGCGAGAGCGTCCCTGGTCGGCGACGGCGACGGTCCCAACCCCGCGGCGGTGGAGGGGAACCGGGAGGTGAGCGGCGACGTGCGGTTCTGCGGCGCGGACCGGCAGCGCATGAGGAGGAGCGCGTTCTTGGGCGGCGTCGTGGTGGCGGACGACACGAACTGCGCGTCGTCGTCCTGCTCCTCGCCGTGGCAGCCGGCGTCGATCCCCATCTTGTCGCCTTCCTCCCGGCCGATGGATCCGAAGACCCCGACGCCGACCTGCATCTGCTCCTCCTCTTCCTCCTCGTCCTCATCCTCCGCCCGGCGACCGCTCCTCGGATCGGCGGCCGTCTTAGGCGCCGCAGCAACAGCGACGTCCCTGCTGCTAAACACCCACGGCGACCGCCGCCCGCGCTCCGCCGCGGGAGCCTCCGGTGGCGGCGCCTTGTGCCTGCGCTTGCGCGAGTCGAACGCGAACATCCCGCCGCACAGGAACGCCTTCTTTAGGCAGCGGCAGTAGTAGTAGCCGCCGCCCCTGGCGCCGGCGGCGCCGCCCTTGTCCCGCCCGGCCCCCGCCGACGACGACGCAGACGCAGCAGGCTTCTTCCCCGCCTTGCGCATCCGCACCTGACCAATGCAGGTGACCTTGGGCGACGAGGGCTCCGCCCCGTCGGCGGCGGCGCGGGTGCGCGCGCCGCGGGACACGAACATGGGCGACGTGGCCGGCGGCGCCCGGCGCGACCGCGCGCCCCGCCGGCTCTTGCTCAGCAGCAGCCGAGCCAGGCCCGGCGGCGCCGGCGCCGGCAGCTGCGGCTTCTCCGCGCGCCCCGGGCTCGCCGCCGGCGGCTTCATATGGCTGGCTGGGTTGGTTGGCTGGCCGCAGCAGCGGAGGGAGAGGGAGAGATGGATGGGTGCTGCGCGCGCGGCCGCGACCGCGAGCTGAGCGAGGTTATAGAGCAGCGGGCGGCGGGTGGGTGGCGCGCGTGCGGATTAATGAGGCGGGCGAGGTGAGATCCTCCGGGGCTCGCGCTCCTTGCGTTGGAAGCGTCGTGGGTGTGCGTGTCCTAGGATTCGCTCGGTGGTGGGCCTGGACCCGGTCCATGGATGCGTGGATGGATCTGTCCTGGCCCAGTGGGCGCGTACTGTACGCGTTTATGGCTGGGTGGGCTTCGTGGGGTTGGTTGGCCCGTGGGCAGTGCATGGACCGGGTCCACAGCCGTGTGGTGGTCGGGGGGTGAACATGATTTGTGATGTGAACGATCTCTGCATTGCGCAATGCTGGCTGAGCCTCCAGGGCTTCTCCTGACCTCCGTGCAGCTGTGCTTTTGCTTGCCGCCATGGATGGCACTGACACTGCCATGGGCGATGTGCCCTGGCCATGCACGATCCGTCTACCTCTGGCTGGCTGGCTGGTGCAGTGCTGGATGGATCCCTTTATTTCCGCACCCTGCCTGCATACCCGCCCGGCGCGGCTGCCGGCAGCTTGTTTATTTCACATCCATACATCCCTCACTCTCTCTGCGCGCTCAGGCTCAGGCTCAGGCTCAGGTCAGGTCAGCCTCCTTTTCTTTTCTACTCGTACTAGGAGTAGCTAGCTGCTCTGAGTTGAAAGGAAAGGAAGTGAAATGGCTAGGGGGACCAATGCGCTAGGTCACCGCCAACACCAGTACCGTACATGTACATCACTAGCGTCAAATGACCGTGAAACATCCAAGATCAAACAAGCACGGATTGGTTGGTCAACACCTATTGCACGGTAAATATGATCTACTACTACGCTAAACACGCCCGCTTTGAAGTTTATTAAACGAATAGACGGGTGACCTAAATCTCAATGAATGAAGGTTAAATTTGGTGCTCAGCGCCCAAGCTACATGTTGTACCGTAACATGTTATCTATCATTTACAAACGTGAAAATAAAAGTAGCATCTAAGGCTTTTCCACGGTATGGAAGTGAAGCCTAGTAAAAATCAGATCCCACCACGAAAAGACAGCACCGCTCTTCATCAGTTGCAGTGGCTAGTGGGCATGCAAAACCGGGCATCGCTTCCAGGCCCACCAACGCTAGCGATGGAATTCTCACACGGCCTCACAAAATACGTATTTTGCTAACTGGGCACCAGCACCTCTTTTTGTGTGCCGCTCCACGAATTCTCGGCACATCGCTAGAAATTTGGCACATCGCTCCACGAATTCTCGGCACATCGCTAGAAATTTGGCACGCCTCTCTCAATTCTGGGCATCGCTTTGGTGTCGCACTGTGTAGGGCCTAAATAAAACAATATAAAGATATAAAGATGATGTCGGTTGGTGATGTCATGGAAGAAATGTCCCATGTAAGACGTCTTTGTGCTCCACCATAAGATGTGTCTTGCTCTAACGACTTATTAAAACTAGAAGAAGAAAACATCTTCTTCGCGGTTTTTTAGTGCCGGCTTAGGCCACCTTGAGCTCTTCCTTGTGAAGCATCGTTGGAGGGGTGCATACGTTGCCTCCCACTGGTACCACTAGCGTTGGAGGCTTAGCCGGAGCCGAAGATGACGTCAACCATTATAAACGGGTCTGAAACAGTTGGTCAAACGTAGTAAGTTAAAAAGTACAGGATTATATTAGCCTAAAAAGAAACGAGAGTGGCACGTACCTACTCCTAGCTTGGAGCCATATGCGTGGACACATCCGGGTTCCCGTAGCTTCAAGAGGCCCATTGTCGTCGTCCTCCTTGATTAGACCAGCCGGCCGGCCGGCCGGGGCGTGCGGACGTGCGGTGCAGCCGTGCAAGGAAGCCTAACATCACGGAGTATGTAGTAGTAGCTGCACCAGTAAAATAAAAAGGAGGTGTTGCACGAGTGGGTGCATCAGCAATGGAGCAGCTTTCACTCACTTCAGTCTTCATCCCCCTCTCTCTCTCTCTCTCTCCTCTCCTCGAGTCCTCCTCGTGATTTCGTTTGGTTTGGACGTTTGGTGTGTGCTAACCTTTCTGTCATGCATGCAAAGCAAAACTAACCGTGTGTGTGCTCAGTCGATGGCATCTGTTTGATGATGATTGTTTAGTGATTTGCTGTCAGGGAGAGCACCCATCAAGGGCGTGCGTGTGCGTGCGTCCTGAGCTGGTGCCATGCGGAGGTGGAGAGAGCTCCTGGGGATCCGATGTGTGTTTGTGTGTGTGTTTGGATCCTGATCTGATGAGCCGGCCGTTTCTTTTTGTTCCCTCATGTGCTTAAACAATGCTAATGGTATCTTCCCCACTCCCCAAACAGCTAGTACGACTCTACGACTGTCCACAGTGTGAGCGGTGCCGAAAATTTTTTCACTCTGACACAGAGCACCGATCATCAGCTCTCCAATTCTCACAGCGTGGGCACCGGTGCTTCACTGTGCTTGTGGACCCCGTCGTAGCAGCCGTGGAGGGGCAGAGGCGAACGAGAAATAATATTTTTTAACGTTTGAAGCACCGGTGAACGAACATGCATCGGTGCCCACTTTGTTTTCATCTCAGCACCGGCTACAACGTGGGCATCGGTGCTCCAAATAGGAGAGAGAGTGTTTGGGCACCGGTAAAAAGCAACGCTGTGGCTAGTCTACTAATAGCTAAGCTACTGCTTTCTCACAAGGAAATGCAGGTCACTTGTGGTTGTGGACTTGTGGACCATCTCTTTGTCCGTTTGGCTTATAAGCCATATTTTTTCAGCCAACGAATAATATTTTTCTCTCATAACAAATCAGTATTTTCAAGATCCAATAAATAGGAGAGAGGCTTTCGGTAGCAACGCGCTAGTCTACTAACATGTCTGCTTATCGCACCAAACGCAAACAAGCGAACAGAGCAACATGTCTGCTTGGATCGAGGGCCCGTTTGGTGTCTCTCTGCCGGGGAGCCGCACCAAACGCAACAGTAACGAGGAACGCTTGATTTAGAGGCTGTTTGGTTGCCGCCACAGATTGTCTTGTCAAAGCTTCGGCTGCAATGTAAAAGGAGTTTGTTTGGTTGTTACGTGCGCCATAAGAGAGTCAGTTGATGATTTCTATCCGTTTTCTCGCCACACCCGTGGCGCTGATTTTCTCCGCCTTAACTATGGCCGCGCCGCCACACCTGTGGCTTGGCATGACGTGGATGGCATGCATGGCCAACCGTATAAACTAATGTAAGTGAAAAATCATCGTCACCGATGCAATTTACATTTGGATGGTTTCGGTACATCCTAAATCTTCGTTATTTCTAAACCAACAGCAAATGGCCCACTTGACTACTTGACAAGTGGCAACTAGAATGAATTAGAGGAGGTAAGAGCTAACTTTGAGTTGTAGAAGTTTCCCAACCTTCTCTCATCCCATTTATATATGTTTGTCCGAATTTGGTACTATGATACGTTTGATTGGTATTTGTAAGTGTATAAATAAATATGTTTAGATTTTGAGTGTGAAATTAGTATCCTTCAGCAATGAGGCAAGTTGATCACGTCTTGGTTAATGATATTGAGGCAAATCCTTTTTCTTGTTTTCCAGTTTCCACCATTGTTTGCCTGTGCAAGTTGATTGATTGCAAATTAATTAAGAGGGATTCGTTTTGTATTGATCTTTTTCCCTTTTCAAATTCGGAGCTGCACACATCAACAAGTGCGCAACTTTTGATTTGGACTGATAGATGATCGTTAATATCGACGGTGCATAATCTTTTCTCTTTTAATCGATTAATCTCGAACATGGTGACTTCATTTTAACCTCTTGTAACAATAAGATAACATATCGTCTCCACTCATACTCCACGTTGAGTAAATAGTTAATTATATTTGACATGGTTTGTGAAACGGTATGTAAATACAAGCAAATGAGGTTCATTCATTGCTCACATACATTCTTTTGTAATCTCCTATAACTAAAAAGACTAAAAGTAAGACTATTTTTTTGTGTGACTTTTTTTTGGGTCGCTCCTCCCATACCGCGCCATGTGAAACAAATCGCACCATAGCATGGAAGGAAACAATAAAAAAGAAAAATGCCATCCTGCGATCCCCCTTAGGCCATGCTTTGATAGAAAAAAAACAAATCGATCATCCTTTGCTTTGAAGGAGGCCACATGAGGCCACATGGAAGGAAACAATAATCATGCATGGAAGGAAACAATTGGCAAAGATCAAGCAAGACTCCTCCCTTCCGGCCATGCGATACCCCGCGCGATAGAAAAAGAAACTGCCATCCCTACGATCCCCGCCTGCTTTGAAGGAAACAAATCGATCACCTGAGGCCACATGCATGGAAGGAAACAATAATCATGCATGGAAGGAAACAATTAGCAAAGATCAAACAAGACTCCTCCCTTCCGGCCATGCGATATCCCGCGTGATAGAAAAAGAAACTGCCATCCCTGCGATCCTCGCCTGCTTTGAAGGAAACAAATCGACCACCTGAGGCCACATGCATGGAAGAAAACAATAATCATGCATGGAAGGAAACAATTGGCAAAGATCAAGCAAGACGACTCAATGAGGTTGGCCCTTTAATTTTAGTGTTTCCAGCATGCAGACCTGAAATTAAAAAGTGGTTGCTCCTTGAGAACATCAGTGGTGCCAAATAAAAGATGTGCAGGTTATACATGGTGAGACTGGTGAACCTTCTGCAATTTCCTAAACGAATATTCTCACCATTCGTATATAGGTCCATTCCCCTGCGTTTCTTCGTGCTCCAATTAGCATATAATATGAAAGTATTGTTGTGTTAAGTATTGTTGTGTTCATCACGACTTTCAGTTGACTACTCCTATTAGCATATACTTCCTCTGCCCCAAAATATAAGTCGTTATGGGATGTGTGCAGGTTAAACTTTCTCAACTTTGACTAGGTTTGTAAAAAATACA